ATAGCTGATGCACAGACTCGGAGACAAGATGATGATCTGGTGTGGAAATGGAGCCGCCGCCCACCTACCCCCTGGCCCTTGCCCGTCCTGCTCCACTTTCTGCCAAGCCCAGCACTGGACCCTGGAAGACCCCCCAAACAGGAGGCCCCTGGCTCTGACACGGGGACCCCAATTGCTCTCCCCGTCATGTCCTGGCATGCTGGAAAAACAGATGTCCCAGGAGGGTTTTTGTGCCAGCTGGAGTCGGGCAGATCCCTCCCCTGCCTCGGACCCTCTCTGCTTCGCTCTCTCTCTCGTGCGCGCTCTCGCTCTCACTCTCGATCACTGTCTTGCCCCAGGGGCCTGCCTCTGTCGCTGCTGCCTCTGCACCATGGAGGTGTTTCTGCTGCTCAGTGCCCCGGCCTCAGGTTCTGCAGCTCCTGGGCACCTGCTGGGCACGGGCTGTCCATCAGCCCTCTCTCCAGGGCATGGTCCTCCCTGCACTCTCTCTGCCTGCCCCTCCCTCGCCTTCTCCCTCCCCAAGTGACCTGGGTGGCTGGCTGGTCCCTGAAGCCTGCAAGGCTGTCTTGGCGCAGCAGAAACCCTGCGTCTGCAGGCTCCCCGTGATCTCCATCCTGGGGAGGCTGTGTCCCTCCATGCAGAGGCAACCGGAAAGCCGAGGGTCAGGGACACTTGAGAGTGTGCAGGCGTCTCTGCAGAAAGAGCCTGCCCTAACTGAACACTCGGGCGTGATGGGGAAGGCACTGGCTTGTTACAGAAGCACCTGGAGGAGATCTGGGGGTCTCGGTGGGCCACAAGCCCGATACGCAGCACAGCCTGAAGTGGGGGAGAGGAAGCCTGCAGCCCCCTGGCAGGGCCTCTATAAAGATGTGTCAGGGCTGGCCTTCTAGAACACAGGGTGTCTTCGCTGACCTGGGACTTCCAGGATGGGCATGGGGACCTGGGAAGCTGCCTCCGCCGGCCTCGACTTGCAATCCCCAAGCCGCCGTCCGCGGTGGAAAATGACGTCCCCAGCAGTTGCATGGGGTCAGCAGTCCCCCGGAGGATTCCTTGGATGCCCTGGGCTCTGTCCAGCCTGCTAGTACTTAGGACATCACCAGCCCTCGAGGGTGCTGCCAGGAATGGATATCAAAAGGCAGCGGTGTCACGGGACACCTGGCACACAGCAGGTGCACAATCCGCATGGCTTCTCAACAGCTCCCAGGAATCCACTTCCGGGATGGAAGCGGGGCGGAGGGGAGGGGTTGCAGGGGTCAGCATCCTCACGGCAGAAGCTCAGTCCTGCGGAGCCGGGGAGTCTCCAGCCAGACCAGGACACTCTTCCTTCTGGCCGAGGGGCTCCCGGGGACAGATAAGGCTGACCACACCAGGTGAGTGCCCCTGCCCGGGGCTGGGCCAGGCCGAGAACCTCCCACACTGGGGTGGTCCATATCCCCTCTCCCCCGGAGCTCCCATCCTGCACTGGGGTCCCCTCGGCCAACTGCCCACATTCCTGACCCTCAGCAAAGCCCTCCTTTGTAAAAAAGCTTTCTCTCGATGTAAATGATGCTGTTAACCTTTTTCTGTACACAAAGTATATATACCTATAAATACTATACATATATATATTATATATAAAGACTAATTCTTGTACAGACACCCCTGGACCCATGGTTCCTTTCGTCCCCCTGTGTCTGCTTGTGCCGACTGCTGCAGAATGAGTTGTTGTATGAGGCTGGTTTCATGTTTCCCCTGTGGGCCCCTGCTTTCCCACCCTCTTCCTTCCCGTTTTTCTCTCTGTCTCTCTCTCTCTCTCCGCCCCCCCCCCCCCTCATTGCCAATGTCGCGCCGTGGGGAAGGAACTTTGGCCACACGCCATCCGGGAGAGAAAATTCAGGTGGGTGGAGGGTCCACTGTGTATATTTGTACAGAGACATTTATAAAGTTTTCTACACTTCTCAAAAAAGTATTTCTAACTTGGGCTGTTGGACGGTGTGTGGGTCTCTGAGCCGCAAGCCTAAACTGTTTCTTGTGTTTAGTGCAATGTTTAGTGAGAATCCAATGTCTGAACTATTTATGCCAATAAAGAATTTGAGAACTACTGCATCACACTGCCGCCAAAACAGGTCTGAATTCTGTTGTTGTCT